CTAATATCACGTTGTACAGAGGGCTTGCAAAAAACTGATTAAAGCTTTGGAGGGGGATTCTATTTCGTAATTATAAATTTGCTGCCTTACATTCCGGTTTGATTTTCGTCGCTTTTTAATCCTTGTGATCTGAGCCTTAAAAAATCAACTTTAACATCTATTCACTAAACTTTTACATCTGTTAGTTGTGTTTGAGTGATACATGAATTCTTTTCCTGGACAGCTATCAAACATTCTTTTTTAAACACGAATGTCGAAGTCGCAAGAATTCGCGAAGAGACTTTAAAAGAGCCTTTTAATTGTATCTTTCTTTTTATTGTTTAAATCTAGCCCTTTTGCTGGGATGATTGCGCCAGGAAATCGAAAAGGTGGCTAGTCTGTTATTACAAGAGCAAACACAAATAAACTGGCTGTTAATTAATTTGTATTCGCACAAAATCTCAAACGAGACGGTGATCTATTTTTCTCATTTCAATATGAATGCAGGCGCTTTAAGATTTTTTCTTTCTAAAGCCGAGTAATTACGTCTCGCGTGTCAATAATCAGAGGAAATTTTCCCTCCAAAAGTCCTCCGTACATATCTGATACTTTAAACGCCTTTACATTTATCAGTATCGGAGAAAAACAATTAATTTCACTTAGGTCGCAGGGCAGGCTGGAACAGAACGAAATAAGAGGAACGCCAGGTATGTATGGTTCTAAGGGAATATTCGGCTTAATTGCTAGCAAGCATTTTTTCTCTTGTATACTGTAAATTCAAACAAGAGGGTTTGACCTTGTCTGGTATGTGTGACGACAAACTTTAACCAGACTTCTTGCTAAGTCTACCTCCACGCCGAAATTCTTAGGTACGAATCAACCTGTGTTTAAAATGTTTGCTTCTATCAAACCATTTCAATTTTTAAATTATTAAAAGGGCGACCATATGAATTTATTATTGAGCGGTTGTTTGAGGTTTCATAGAAATTTCAGGCGAACTAAGCCCTTTCTCATCGAACTTATCACGCGCACAAAGCTAATAATATACTGCGATATCATGACTTTGAAGTCCGAAAATAAAACAATTTAAAATAATGAATTTGCAAAACCACCCATGCACCGTGAATCACGTTTCTCGTGGATTTAATTATTGTGTTGTTTTCGCTAAGCGATGCGAAAAGTCGTCTTCGCCGATAAAATTGAGAGAGATTTCTAGACGAGCTTCTCGCAAATTTAGATACCAGTTTCTCGATCGTTAAAAGTAAAATAAAATCTAATATTGTTGTCTTCAACATGACAATATTATAAAATTTTCCTCAAAATGTCTTTTTCTTACAGTATAATTTTTCAATGATTGTCTGACACCTCACTTTAAAGGTGAGAAAAAAGGTAAGCGTTCGTTATTTTATATTTGCTGTCGGTTTCGTTTTCCTACACTGATTTTTATTACATTGGCACGAAAACTGTTTACTTGCTACAACACCTAAAAAAAGTAAAACGAAATATTAAAGCCGGATTATTTCTTAGACCACACGCACAAATGAAGAATTTCGTATTCCAATAAACGAGAAACATTGTTCTTAAAGTTTTCTATATTGTGACTAATTAATAACCAGCGAATACTCGTATACAAATATTATTAATGGCGGACAGCCCAGCAGCTGGATTGCAGTCCATTGCAGATACAAAAGCAGTCCCACAGATATCGCTTTGTTACCGAAATTGAAAAAGCCACAGTCGGGACAAGAATTTTCCTCCACGACAAACGGTAAACTATACTGGTGTTTTACCTTTTTAATTATTGTAACAAAAATACCAAAAATATTAAGCACGATTAACATGCCACAAACTGAAGAATCGGGCTATATGATCCACTGACATTATTTAGTTAGACATGTAAGAAGTAGAATTTTATGTTAATTAACTCTTAAAAGCGACCAGCCATTTTCACCGCAAAAAGAAAACATACAAAGGTATAAGAGTATAATGTAAAGTGAATTAACCATTTCTAACTCATAAACTCCACAGTGGGGCAATAACAGAACTCAGTTTTTTCAGTTTAGCAGAATAAAACCTAAAATGTCACACGAGGTGCTCGACCGTAATAATTACAATAAGAAAACGTTCGGTTTTCCAATTTTTGCTAATTTATTGACTCTTAATTAAAAGGAATTACTCCTTGACTCAGGAAAAGCTCCGAAAAAGTTTTGAATATACATGTAATTTCTTCCTTTCAACTGATTCGAACAGTCCCCATGATTGGTTGGTTCATATCAGTCAATTTCCATAACAATCAAGAACTATTTATCTTATCTCATTGTTAAAAATCGTCAAACAAAAGACCTGGCTTCTATAAAAAGTACTTAAACGACGATCTTTCAAACGGGAAACATTGGTTTATTGATAAATTTAAATCCAAAGATATTGAAAACGTTTCTTGTCAAGTCGACCTCAAATTCAAAGGCTTTGCTGATGCAGCACTGAATTACAATTATGCAAATGAATCAACACGATTGTGAACGATGAAATTGCTATGAGCCATGTCTCACTTCCATGGCATTATCCTCGATCCTAAATTAACAACAAAAAATAAAGGCTCAAAAGTCAGGTTTTGATTTAAGTTTTCGGTAGATAGAAACGATATCTTTGTCCCGTCATTAAAAACTGTAAACATTCAAAACCTCACCCTTAATTTACGTCTGTAAATACTTTCACGTCTCAAATGACTTATTCATAATTTGAAATACGATATAGCTTTTTTTACAATATCTTGGAAACGATTCCTTGCGAAGAATTTCATAATACACATTCGGCTATTTGTTAAGAACAACATGCAAGGAAACGTCTAAAGAGATCCCCAACAAGATTTGTACCAAAAGCACACGCTACACGATAATGAGTGCGAGTTATGTCTCGAGAGGAAGGTGCTTTTGATAACAAACAATAATGTAGACGCAAGCTTCGACGTCAAGGACCTATGTCTTAAAACATGGCCAATTTTTCAAGCTTGAAGTTCGCAATACATCTTAATTCTAGGTTGTAGCAATCTTCCCTTATTTTCGGTTTATTATTACTTCTCTGGTTAATATTGTGACCTGTATCGTTAAAGGAGATTGATTTAATAGTGACAGTTTCCTTGACAGTAAAAGAGTTTTTTGCCGATTTTCTACAACATGCTTACTGGTGTTGACTGATATTTTCGGCGTAAAATGCTCGGATAAAAACAAAAACTGTAAGGTGTCCCGGGTTACTATTTTGTCCATGACGGTAAAAATGTTCATGAGATGGGCGTCCCGGTGTCGAAGCAGAACCTGAAATTTCACTAATGGATCAGGTGTCAAATATGTTAAGTCACACCCATGTCCTAAAATCTATAAATAAATTATGGGAAAGACACTTTCCACACAACACAAACAATATGGTTTATTGAAGCTTAAAAATGAAAATGAGCAGTTCAAGAAAATGTGCTCCTGTTTTGTCAGTTTTCTGTTTGGAGTTGTACAAGTGAGCTCAGTTTCAACCGTTTCACAGTTTGGGAAGGTCCATCGTGGTAAGATTAGAAACAATTTCTTATTTATTTAACTTAATGGTATCGGAACCATAAACATGAAGTTGTGAAGGTTGGGAAAAAACGGAAAGGTAATTGCCATCCTCTTCTTTATACGTTTACACACAATCATTCAAGAAGGCTGAATGACCTAAGAGCACTAGAAAGAACGTAACATTGGAAACAGTTTTGACTTTTTCAGCAAGGTCGCCGGCTAAACTGAAAATATTGAAAACATAAGAGACTGTAATGGCTTAAAAAGGTATGAGTAGTGCATAATGTTTATCATTATTTTTATTTTTGGAGTTGACAACAAGCGCGTAATGGTTGGGCCCAATGAAAACAGTGAATTTTGTTCACCACGATCCTCGTGCTCAGGGCAGCGTCGGGGCTCGAACGATTTGTTGAAGTACTGTATAATTTGCTCATATTGATATCATGTCGCGTCTTGTTTCAGATAATTGTATCTAAATCTTTTTTCAAATAAGGTTACAAGGTACTGCATGGACCAAAAAACCTCGTTTCCTGGAAATTTGACCTTCTGCTGGGAAGGTTTAATTTTTTTCTTTACGTGCTGGAAATTAGGATCACTAGCAATAATGTTTACGTGCACATTAAGGTGCCAATGTGCCTTTAAGATCCTGTCTACAGTTAATCGTTTTAGCCTGAAAACACGTTCATCTGATTGTTTACATGGTAAATGGACACCTTTGAAACGCCAGCCCTGTCACTTTGGTGTGTACGGGTGTAAACAATTACTTTTGAAAACTAACGACGCAATTCAAGGTTAATTAATCGCGGTAAGCTTCACTTTTACGCATGCGTAACGCCAGATCCTCATCGTTTGTTTGGAAGCGTCTGAACACGATAGTGTGGGAGAAAATATTTTGGTACGTACGCGGACTTCTGGAAACGTTATTTGTGGAGACTGCGAATGAAGGTTGAGTTGTAATCCGGCGCTGATAGCTTGGGAGCTGAGCAAAAGTGAAGGTTTGTGTTTATTAACACCAACTTGAATTTTGGTGAAAAGAGCACAAAGCTGGAAGTTCACAATTACATTACTGGTCTTTAGAATTGTCAAACCACATGAAATAGTATAGAAAATAGTTGCAAAATAAAGCGGATTATATACGGGGTAATTTTCGCATAAATAGAGAAGAGGTATAAGTATTAATTTTTTGAATTGCAAATCCATAACAATCGTTTGTATACGGAATTTTCACTCGACGGATTCAGTGACANTATTTATGACCAAAATCTGCGATATTCCCTACCCTATTTATGACCTGACCAAAAATTCGAAACCCTATTTTAATTACCGTAAACATAATTTGTGAAGGGCTTTCGTTGATTTTCGAAAAAGTGGCTTCTTTTTAAAAACATACCCATAGCAAGGCTAGAGTGCAAAAACCATACCCTATTTATGACCAAAATCAGCTAAAATCGATGCCCTATTTATGACCAAAACAGCTGAAAACCCCTACCCTTTGGGGCCGCACATACCTATATAGCCCATATAAGGGAGTACCCCCCGGGACATTTGCGCACTTCGACGGAACTATTCAGCGGATTTCTTTACATCTGTTCATTTTTCCAAAACGTGCGATAAATTTCGTTTTTACACATATGGAATAAAGGGATTTTTTTGTACAGTGAAATTTTTTTTTCCACGCTAGAAGAACGCATGTATTTGAGGTAAAAACGACATTTCAAATAAATAAACCTTACCTTCTGATACCTCAATGAAATCGAAAGGAATATTGCAATCTGAGCAGAAAATTTGAATCCAGTTCCAAATGCCTATCTGCACGTTTCTTCCATTGATAAAATAAATTGCAATGATACAAAGAAGAGCGTAACATCATTTTCTCATCCTTTTCGCAAAGGAACGGAAGTCAAAAGATCAACTATTGTTGGAAATTAAAGTGTGAATATTAAGTTCAAAACGTGCTTGGTGCACGACCTAAACCAAAACTATATCAAAGCGACAAAGCCGATCAATCTTCGTTTTTTTACATGACTTTTGTAATACAAAGAAAAGGAAATTTTTGAAAATTAAGTAAAGTTGGAATGCCGCATACATTGTAAGCCGGCGTAATTAACTCTTATTGCGATCCCATGAGTGACACCTACATGTCAAACATTAAAATGTCTTTTCAAGAAGCAAGAAATTGCGTGATTACAGAGCCAGCAGTAATTTGCTTTTCCCTGGATTAAAAAACTAACGAAAACGCCAGGGTTGTTCTTTTGTATTTCCCAAGTCTTGCACTGTTACTGTTCTAATATCACGTTGTACAGAGGGCTTGCAAAAAACTGATTAAAGCTTTGGAGGGGGATTCTATTTCGTAATTATAAATTTGCTGCCTTACATTCCGGTTTGATTTTCGTCGCTTTTTAATCCTTGTGATCTGAGCCTTAAAAAATCAACTTTAACATCTATTCACTAAACTTTTACATCTGTTAGTTGTGTTTGAGTGATACATGAATTCTTTTCCTGGACAGCTATCAAACATTCTTTTTTAAACACGAATGTCGAAGTCGCAAGAATTCGCGAAGAGACTTTAAAAGAGCCTTTTAATTGTATCTTTCTTTTTATTGTTTAAATCTAGCCCTTTTGCTGGGATGATTGCGCCAGGAAATCGAAAAGGTGGCTAGTCTGTTATTACAAGAGCAAACACAAATAAACTGGCTGTTAATTAATTTGTATTCGCACAAAATCTCAAACGAGACGGTGATCTATTTTTCTCATTTCAATATGAATGCAGGCGCTTTAAGATTTTTTCTTTCTAAAGCCGAGTAATTACGTCTCGCGTGTCAATAATCAGAGGAAATTTTCCCTCCAAAAGTCCTCCGTACATATCTGATACTTTAAACGCCTTTACATTTATCAGTATCGGAGAAAAACAATTAATTTCACTTAGGTCGCAGGGCAGGCTGGAACAGAACGAAATAAGAGGAACGCCAGGTATGTATGGTTCTAAGGGAATATTCGGCTTAATTGCTAGCAAGCATTTTTTCTCTTGTATACTGTAAATTCAAACAAGAGGGTTTGACCTTGTCTGGTATGTGTGACGACAAACTTTAACCAGACTTCTTGCTAAGTCTACCTCCACGCCGAAATTCTTAGGTACGAATCAACCTGTGTTTAAAATGTTTGCTTCTATCAAACCATTTCAATTTTTAAATTATTAAAAGGGCGACCATATGAATTTATTATTGAGCGGTTGTTTGAGGTTTCATAGAAATTTCAGGCGAACTAAGCCCTTTCTCATCGAACTTATCACGCGCACAAAGCTAATAATATACTGCGATATCATGACTTTGAAGTCCGAAAATAAAACAATTTAAAATAATGAATTTGCAAAACCACCCATGCACCGTGAATCACGTTTCTCGTGGATTTAATTATTGTGTTGTTTTCGCTAAGCGATGCGAAAAGTCGTCTTCGCCGATAAAATTGAGAGAGATTTCTAGACGAGCTTCTCGCAAATTTAGATACCAGTTTCTCGATCGTTAAAAGTAAAATAAAATCTAATATTGTTGTCTTCAACATGACAATATTATAAAATTTTCCTCAAAATGTCTTTTTCTTACAGTATAATTTTTCAATGATTGTCTGACACCTCACTTTAAAGGTGAGAAAAAAGGTAAGCGTTCGTTATTTTATATTTGCTGTCGGTTTCGTTTTCCTACACTGATTTTTATTACATTGGCACGAAAACTGTTTACTTGCTACAACACCTAAAAAAAGTAAAACGAAATATTAAAGCCGGATTATTTCTTAGACCACACGCACAAATGAAGAATTTCGTATTCCAATAAACGAGAAACATTGTTCTTAAAGTTTTCTATATTGTGACTAATTAATAACCAGCGAATACTCGTATACAAATATTATTAATGGCGGACAGCCCAGCAGCTGGATTGCAGTCCATTGCAGATACAAAAGCAGTCCCACAGATATCGCTTTGTTACCGAAATTGAAAAAGCCACAGTCGGGACAAGAATTTTCCTCCACGACAAACGGTAAACTATACTGGTGTTTTACCTTTTTAATTATTGTAACAAAAATACCAAAAATATTAAGCACGATTAACATGCCACAAACTGAAGAATCGGGCTATATGATCCACTGACATTATTTAGTTAGACATGTAAGAAGTAGAATTTTATGTTAATTAACTCTTAAAAGCGACCAGCCATTTTCACCGCAAAAAGAAAACATACAAAGGTATAAGAGTATAATGTAAAGTGAATTAACCATTTCTAACTCATAAACTCCACAGTGGGGCAATAACAGAACTCAGTTTTTTCAGTTTAGCAGAATAAAACCTAAAATGTCACACGAGGTGCTCGACCGTAATAATTACAATAAGAAAACGTTCGGTTTTCCAATTTTTGCTAATTTATTGACTCTTAATTAAAAGGAATTACTCCTTGACTCAGGAAAAGCTCCGAAAAAGTTTTGAATATACATGTAATTTCTTCCTTTCAACTGATTCGAACAGTCCCCATGATTGGTTGGTTCATATCAGTCAATTTCCATAACAATCAAGAACTATTTATCTTATCTCATTGTTAAAAATCGTCAAACAAAAGACCTGGCTTCTATAAAAAGTACTTAAACGACGATCTTTCAAACGGGAAACATTGGTTTATTGATAAATTTAAATCCAAAGATATTGAAAACGTTTCTTGTCAAGTCGACCTCAAATTCAAAGGCTTTGCTGATGCAGCACTGAATTACAATTATGCAAATGAATCAACACGATTGTGAACGATGAAATTGCTATGAGCCATGTCTCACTTCCATGGCATTATCCTCGATCCTAAATTAACAACAAAAAATAAAGGCTCAAAAGTCAGGTTTTGATTTAAGTTTTCGGTAGATAGAAACGATATCTTTGTCCCGTCATTAAAAACTGTAAACATTCAAAACCTCACCCTTAATTTACGTCTGTAAATACTTTCACGTCTCAAATGACTTATTCATAATTTGAAATACGATATAGCTTTTTTTACAATATCTTGGAAACGATTCCTTGCGAAGAATTTCATAATACACATTCGGCTATTTGTTAAGAACAACATGCAAGGAAACGTCTAAAGAGATCCCCAACAAGATTTGTACCAAAAGCACACGCTACACGATAATGAGTGCGAGTTATGTCTCGAGAGGAAGGTGCTTTTGATAACAAACAATAATGTAGACGCAAGCTTCGACGTCAAGGACCTATGTCTTAAAACATGGCCAATTTTTCAAGCTTGAAGTTCGCAATACATCTTAATTCTAGGTTGTAGCAATCTTCCCTTATTTTCGGTTTATTATTACTTCTCTGGTTAATATTGTGACCTGTATCGTTAAAGGAGATTGATTTAATAGTGACAGTTTCCTTGACAGTAAAAGAGTTTTTTGCCGATTTTCTACAACATGCTTACTGGTGTTGACTGATATTTTCGGCGTAAAATGCTCGGATAAAAACAAAAACTGTAAGGTGTCCCGGGTTACTATTTTGTCCATGACGGTAAAAATGTTCATGAGATGGGCGTCCCGGTGTCGAAGCAGAACCTGAAATTTCACTAATGGATCAGGTGTCAAATATGTTAAGTCACACCCATGTCCTAAAATCTATAAATAAATTATGGGAAAGACACTTTCCACACAACACAAACAATATGGTTTATTGAAGCTTAAAAATGAAAATGAGCAGTTCAAGAAAATGTGCTCCTGTTTTGTCAGTTTTCTGTTTGGAGTTGTACAAGTGAGCTCAGTTTCAACCGTTTCACAGTTTGGGAAGGTCCATCGTGGTAAGATTAGAAACAATTTCTTATTTATTTAACTTAATGGTATCGGAACCATAAACATGAAGTTGTGAAGGTTGGGAAAAAACGGAAAGGTAATTGCCATCCTCTTCTTTATACGTTTACACACAATCATTCAAGAAGGCTGAATGACCTAAGAGCACTAGAAAGAACGTAACATTGGAAACAGTTTTGACTTTTTCAGCAAGGTCGCCGGCTAAACTGAAAATATTGAAAACATAAGAGACTGTAATGGCTTAAAAAGGTATGAGTAGTGCATAATGTTTATCATTATTTTTATTTTTGGAGTTGACAACAAGCGCGTAATGGTTGGGCCCAATGAAAACAGTGAATTTTGTTCACCACGATCCTCGTGCTCAGGGCAGCGTCGGGGCTCGAACGATTTGTTGAAGTACTGTATAATTTGCTCATATTGATATCATGTCGCGTCTTGTTTCAGATAATTGTATCTAAATCTTTTTTCAAATAAGGTTACAAGGTACTGCATGGACCAAAAAACCTCGTTTCCTGGAAATTTGACCTTCTGCTGGGAAGGTTTAATTTTTTTCTTTACGTGCTGGAAATTAGGATCACTAGCAATAATGTTTACGTGCACATTAAGGTGCCAATGTGCCTTTAAGATCCTGTCTACAGTTAATCGTTTTAGCCTGAAAACACGTTCATCTGATTGTTTACATGGTAAATGGACACCTTTGAAACGCCAGCCCTGTCACTTTGGTGTGTACGGGTGTAAACAATTACTTTTGAAAACTAACGACGCAATTCAAGGTTAATTAATCGCGGTAAGCTTCACTTTTACGCATGCGTAACGCCAGATCCTCATCGTTTGTTTGGAAGCGTCTGAACACGATAGTGTGGGAGAAAATATTTTGGTACGTACGCGGACTTCTGGAAACGTTATTTGTGGAGACTGCGAATGAAGGTTGAGTTGTAATCCGGCGCTGATAGCTTGGGAGCTGAGCAAAAGTGAAGGTTTGTGTTTATTAACACCAACTTGAATTTTGGTGAAAAGAGCACAAAGCTGGAAGTTCACAATTACATTACTGGTCTTTAGAATTGTCAAACCACATGAAATAGTATAGAAAATAGTTGCAAAATAAAGCGGATTATATACGGGGTAATTTTCGCATAAATAGAGAAGAGGTATAAGTATTAATTTTTTGAATTGCAAATCCATAACAATCGTTTGTATACGGAATTTTCACTCGACGGATTCAGTGACACAATAACCACAAAAAATGTCACACACTGCAAACAATTACTGGACTTACATGAATTTGATTTGTATGAAAAGCTCTTTAGTTTACAATGAAAAAAAAGGCAAGACTTCATTTCACGCATGAAGTTTTTAACCTCTGCACCTGCTTGCTTGGCAGGGATAGAAGGAAATTTGTCACAGCTTATTTACAGCTGCAGTCAAAGTTTGAAATAATATTTGAATTTTTAATTCACCGTGAGCTAGCTTTTTACACATGTCTAATCTTTTTCCATTATTTGCCCAGTCTATGAAAAACTTAATTACCAAATGACAGATAAGGAGGCAAAAAGTAAGCTTAGGACATGAAAATTGAAGTTGTCTTTAATGGTTTGAATTTTAGCGTTAGTTTGACAGGTACAAGACAGAAAAAATGCTTAATATTATAGTTTACACAAGATCTCATTTACAACTGTTCCACTGCTAATAACTTCCAACTTTTTGAAGCGCAATTAGGACTTTTGTGTTTTCACATAAAAACTCCTACTGGCAGTCTCAGCTTCCCAGCAATACAAAAGGAATATCACGGCACGAAAGTATTTCCAGAACAACTCCTGTATTCATCAGCAATAACAAGGTCATTCAAAGTAAGAAACAAAAGTAAGCTGTTAGAGTAAAAAAAAAATTGAATGCTCATTTTCAGCATCAATGTTTTCGTCAGGCGTCAAAATGTCCAAAATGATTTTATCATTTGAAATTGTATACGCTTATTTCTAACCTATCACTATATATGAACATGACTTCGAAAGGTCAAACCTCATAAGACATATTGCCGTAGATGGAAACCGAAAATTTGAGGTCTTGTTTGGTTAAAAGTTCCCACATATTAAGTGCAATGAAACTACAAAAGGGTATTATGAAAGTTATGCATGCAAAAGGATGTGATGTCAATTGAAATATTCTGGCAGATGTTGCCAGGTTATGTCTTTGTGTCTTACAAATATTTCTAAAATCTAATTATAAGTTGCACTCCCCTCATCCGTTCACTTAATAAGTTACTGAGCTAAATGTTCTATGAACATCTTGAGTATGAGTGAATGCACCACATGAGCTTCTTAGCAATGTTCTGACAAAAAAACAGCTAATAAATCGCCATGGTGGTGTCGCTTTAATGTTTAATATTCAGCTATGGTAGGGCGAAAGAAATATGTGCAATCGATCCGCAAACGAGGAGAAAAATGTACGGGCAAAACTTTCCGTGAGCAGTCCGTTCCCTCGATAAAGCCACCGAGACCAGTTGTTCAAAGCCCAATTAAGCTCACCCGGGGTTACCGTGAATTTTGATTTCAGTTTTCTAACTTTTCGGTAAGGTTTTCTGTTTATATTGTTTGTCCTTCTGTTTTGCGCTTAAGTAATCTCTATAGCTGCTCAAAACATAACCAGTGAAACGCACCTTTATGCCAGAACAATCAATACTTCGGTTTACTTTTAATCCTGGGTTAGCGTTAACTGTCTTTCGAACAACCCGACACTGGCTGTTAAGTTTAACCCAGGAACTAGGGAAATTGTTATCGAGAACTCTTTAGCTGTCAATGGTTAAAGATTATAAAAATGTCAGCGTGTGAAGCAAGTTATCGATGCTTTCAAACATTTCGTGATCGGTACAGTGAACACGGCGTTTTTTTCATCAACACATCGTTTCGAATCGTTTAATCTAAGAAAATTCTGTAAAGAGAGACAACGACAGCTACCTCATTATCACGACCACCTTGTCATCTTTGCTGCCAGCGGTTTTCCCTTCGTACAAATAAGCATGCGTATGGCGAACGCTAGTAACCAAGTCCTCACATGAGAATATTAATTATCTGAAGTGTGGAAAAGCTGTATCGCGTACAATTGATGTAATGTCTACTCTTCTTAATTGCCGAATACAACGACTAATGATAATTACTTCTACAGGCTAAATTTAAATTAAGATTTATTTATTCGGTACATCACATATCACTTTCATAACAAAAGCTCTTAAGCAAACCGAAGCCTCGGGTATGCTCTTAGCATGTTATAAAGTTTAGCCTTTGACAGCCTCATATTGCTATACAAAATGCTCTTATAAAGAAAAACCATGTAGTCTTCGCCGTCTGGCCTTCAGTTGGAGGGTTTGGGAGCTTCCAAGGCAAGTTGGGTCAATTTCTAACATTCTGGGACATTCTGACGATCGTCTGGTATCGATGGCTGGTAAGCAAAGTGAAAACCTTGAGAAGTGCGCACACATTGTTTGATTTCCATGCACCAAGGTTATTAGAAACCTCACTCTTTCTCTCAGTTTATTCAGTTAGCTTCTGGGTACTCTTTCACACGGGCAAACACGAACTAAGAAAACCCAACTGGAAGCCTAACAGATTTTTGAATGAATTCGAAATGAGATTCATCGAAACTGTAGGAAGACAAAGTCAGTTAGCTTTTGTTTAGGTACACCTGCTGCAATGGGCGGAAATTAAATGAAAAGTTAATTCAAAACAAAAATATACAGAAAGACATGGTTCGTGATGTTTGAGCGAAAGAAAATGAAATTAATTTTGTTTTTGCTTTAACTTGAAATACGATCGCAAATATTGCCAGCGCTTTCGATCAATTTGGCTGCCACGTTTGTTGGAATATTATCGAATGTTACTATTCTCTCAAATTCCGTTTCTTAGATGAAAAATTTATCTCATACCATTTTTCAAAACATCAATGACAATACGATACAAGCACACAAGGTTTGCGATACGCAGTTCTTGCTCACTGTTGCTCGCAGGAAGAAAAACGTGAGCTTGAAGTTTTAAGTAGAAAACAAGGTACCAAAGCAAAATGCAGGAATAGTGGCACCATAAACCGTAAAACGAAATATCCAAACTGTTAGAAAACGAAGACACACTCTGTACAAAAACGAATCCCTGTGCCAAGTTATTCTTGTGAACTACTAGTTATACAATACGTCGAATAATTCTCGCATTTTGATAGAACGCACAGATGACGTCATAAACAACTTTTGGTTTCTTTGTTATGTTAAACAAGTAGATTCCATGTTGTCGTGTTGCCATCAGTGTCTAAATTGCCTAACGACTTGTGTGCCCGCCACATTTTTGTTCTTACCACATTTTGACGTCATCTGTGATCTATCATTGAACAGACACACGACAATATGGAATCTATTTGTCAAAAATATTTTTTACAGCTGTTATATTTCTCCAAAATGTAGGATAACATGCAAGAAGATCACCAAACGATTCCGAAAGATTCGTGGAAAAACTTGTTACATTGGAGGCAAAATCTGTCAAAACGATACGACGCTGAAGAAAACTTGGTATTGTCGCGTAGAACTTTAATATACACAAATCCTCTCGCACCATATATTGCCGAAGAAATTCAACAAACCTTACACTGGGAAGCGTGCAACAATTAGATGACATTTGGACAAAGGTTCTGCACTGCACGATGAAGCATAGGTTTAACTGTTTTCTACTTGTAATGCTTGTCTTCTACACTAGCACTGGCAGGATATTGCAGGTCTTTTCGTGCACAAATCCTCTCGCACCATATGTTGCCGAGGAAATTTCAATAAAACTTAAATTTGGAAGCGTCCAGCAGTTCTGAAGCTTGAAGAAAGGTTCTGCACTGCACGAGGAAGCATAGGTTTAACTGTTTTCTACTTCTAATACTTGCGCTCTATGCCGGCACTGGCAGAATATTGCAGGTCTTTATCGGTTCTCCACTCTTTGCTAAAGGGTAGATAACAGGTGAATAACTCCACCTGGTATGGGTTTGATAATATGACATCAATCGTTTCCAATGAAAAAAGTTTGTCAACTCGCAACATAAAACGTGGTTTCCTTTATTCTTTTTATCAACTTGACAAAGCCACACACTAGATGCTACAAGAGCGCGGATTTTATGGATATAATATGCTCTTAAATTGTACGTAGCTTTAGTCTGAAGATGGTATAGAATAATACCGAAACAGCACAAAGTTCCTTGCATTTGTCGTCAAAATAATAGGCACAATGCAATAATTCGAATAAACCTTTGCTCTTTATGCCGGCACTGGAATTATTAGTGGGTAATATACCGTTCTACTAAAGGTTTAATACTCGCATGCATAACATGATAGCACATAAAAATGAATTCATGTTAACGCCACTTCAAAACAGGAAATGAACAAATGTCAACTTTAAGAGGCCGAGACTAACAACCCAGCTGTGTTTACCAAAAACTTTTAAAACTTTTCTGATTTAAATGGCTTGTTTTAAAAACAAGCCATCGATATCACAAAATATCTTAACGTCCAAATTTCCCAGCGCATTTAATCACTTCTTATTTGTTGCTATTTGTACATGACATGAAAAAAGAATCTCCTAGGAAAAGCACTCTAATTGTAAAACTATACTACTTTACTTATTCAATTAGTGGCAACGTTACCTCCAAAGTTTAAAAATTAACACAGTCAAATATATGAGATCTTCAGTGACTCAAATTAATGATACTTTTGTCTGCTTCATAAAGCAACTTTAAATAATTTGTACAGATTGTTGGATAGGTAGAGGAAACAGCTTAGGAAAATTTGGAAGCCAGAAAGTTACTGCTCACGAACGTATTATCAAATGAATATTTCGTACATAAGAGAACTTTGTAAGAGTCCTTATAGTTTGAGTGTATAGTTTTTGTGCACCAAGCAAGGAGGGCGAGACAAGCACCGCGAAGAATCATCTAAAAATATGAGAAACTGTCCGTCAATATAAGTGTTGTTTACTTTCAAAGATTTAGTGTGCGTGTAAGCTACCGGAAAACATTGCATTTTGCACAATCCCGCCGTAAGAATACTTTAAACTGAGCAATTCAGACTTTGCATTATTGACGAAATCAAATGCGTACCACCATTGCAAGGACTCAGCCACTTTAGGGATTTTCAAGTAAAGATCTCGTTGCGTTTCGATTTTCCACCCCCTCATTCTCCTCCCACAAAACGTTTATGTGAAATAACTTTCGTGCAATGTTTACAAAGTTCGAAATTTTGAGAACTAAATACCCAACAATTCCTAGATTATAACATTTTACTTTCTAACAAGAATTGCGTACAATAAAATAAGAGCTACCTTCGATGACGCAAGTCCACCTCACCCACAATCGACTCTAAGCAATATCCATACATAAATATTTTTCGTTTCCTTCTCTGTAGTCTTCCTTTGTTTGCAAAGTTGCGATTCAAAACACCATATTGCACGGAAAAGAAAACATATATTATTCCATTTGCAGGGAGCTATGTCGCAGTAGTAACGTAACTGTTGTCAAAGAAAGATCATTTTTCAAACTTTTCCCCGATAGCTTCAATAACAGATTTTTTCTAGAAATGTAAAAAGCGGTAGGGAGTCTTTCAAACCTCATTTATCTGGCTTTTGCAAGCGGGGAGTAACACATTTAAACGCATTTTCGTGATACAGTATTCATGTCAGGATTCTGTTTGTTACAGATTATCCGCCAGAAACCGCAATCTACGTCGCCTTGGAAGATCAACCTGCCAGAGGTAAGTGCATCTCCTTAAAAAAATGATTGATTTTCTTTATAAAGAGACTCGGACGCAAATATCCTGAGGCAACGATGGTTTTTTTCTTAATTAAAATAATATGCCTTGTCTGTAATCCAACTAATCTTTTAAGTTGCGCATTCATCTTCTAAGAAGTGAAATTCGTAACAAACAATCTGTAAATCCGTCCACGTTTGATTTCGGATTTCACAGTCTCATAAATGACAAAGTTTGAACAACCTGGGTTAATCACAATTAATCAAGGAAAGGGTTTTGAACCCTGTAAGTGTTATTTGTGTAAGATTGATTGATCTCGTTTTGCCTTCAAACGAACAACAACAAAAAAAAGATTAAAATAAAATACATTAATTTGTGTCTTTTCTCGTTTCGCCTTAAAAGATCAGAGTGGAGACAAATCAATTCAAGTCTTTCATTTCAAGGCTTTGTCATTTAATGGCGGCAAAATATATAAGTATTGTACAAAATTGACTTACACGATAAATAATTACAAAAGATGTCACGCAAGTTTTACAGTTCTACAAAGACCCTGCAAATGAGTGCCAGGTATTTCTAACTAATGCTCTCGTTAAATCTTTACCGATATCAAAATTCTGTTCAAGTAAATATTTATTGAAAAATGTATTTTTGTGACACGTCAAAAAGAGCGCTATACATTGCGATGTTTACTTAATCCAGCTTTTTCGCTTCAAAATAATAGTCTGTTTTCATTCAGATTCAGAATACAGTTTCAGCCAAGCCTGCTATGAAAAAAAGGACGCAAAAACACTGCGTTTCCACCAGACCAATAGGAAAAAACGAAACTTCTTGAATAAAAATAGACTGAATCGAGATTAAAAGATCTATTTTTAAAACTTTGAAAAAACACAGGTTGAGCCAAAAGAGGATAAGAAAAATTAAAACGGCAGATAACTTTCCAGCTTGGTAATTTAAAATTCAGTTTACCGCAACTAGAAGACAAAATATTTTTATATTACGTCCACTACTATAAGGATTTATAGTATTATGTCTCAAAATGACACTTTCGTTTTTTGTTTTTTTTTCGTATCGTTTGAAGCGTACAAACTGCCTAAAATTACCATATAAAACCAAAAGCAGTCCTTTGCAAACAAAAAACGATTTTATGCTCTACTGGAATAAAATGCATTCACGATAAGAAACCTCAAGTGCTACTGCAAAATTTATGCTTGATAGAAAAATCATACAATAAGTATTCGTATATCTTCGAGATTTTTAATTTTCTGTTGTCCCCGTTTCGTTTTACTAGAATGAAAAATTCCTGCCACACTTCGATTTTACCTTAAAAATATATCTCACGCACAGCTTCCATGAAAACGAAGATCATAGGATGAATAGAATACCTAAATTATTGATCCAGGTAAATTAAACACATGTTAATAAAAGTTACCAAAAATGAAGACATTGCATTACTGGAAAAAAATACTTAACGTGTCACCCCAAACTATAAATAAAGCGATATTCTTACAACTTGTGTGTAAACATTGAAAAGAAAGAACAAGAATCCTGGGCCAGTTTTATTAACTATATCATCATTTATTTAACAAGTAAGATTTACTGCACTTCACACATAAATCGCATGTTGAGGTATAACTCGGTCTAAAGCATATTCTTTATTTTCAAAACAATTGACAAAATTCATGCATTCTACGTTTTCACTTCCGTCCTCCATAACCGAAGATGACCATGTGCCAAGACATTTATACACATTGAAAGCAATTCAAGTCCTTTTTCCGTATACTTTTTCACCAATGCTGGACTGACGAGGCATTTAAATTATTAACCAAGACGACAAGGGATCAATATCACGAAAGACCATTAACGTTTTTTAAATAACATTTTTCCCTTCACAATTTATAACCGTGTGGTTTGCAAAACCCGTCATTTGATGAAAGAGTTTTTAAGTAAGCGTTTCCGAACAGTTCTCATTAAGGCTATAATATCACTGGCGTCTCTCACCAAGGGCTTGGATGTTCTGAGGAATATTACAAGGTGTTATTCCTACACAAGTTTTCGCCGCAAACCCTGCTGCGTTGTTCAAGTTTACGATAGTGGTGGGTATTCCCTCCTGTCAAGTTCACGATATGATTGCAATATCTAGCGTTAAAATGTAAAAGCGAATACAAAAAAAACTACTTTTCTATATTGCAAGATCAAACCCTGACAGCCATGGAAAACGGTTTCATATCACCAGTATTTGTATTAATTTATTTTCTATTGCGTCGGATGAAAGCTCTCCTCTCGATAGGGTGAAGTATTGTTACAGAAAATTGAATGGAATTTTAGGTGGCGCTCTCGGCAAGATGACAGCGATAACGAAAGTTCAAAAGTGTTCTACTAGTGGAAAGGATGTTTGGACGCACCAGTGGAGTAACCGCACTTGACATGCAAGCAAATTATCTCATGGAATTTGAGGAATTTCTATGAAAGCCACATGACGACTACGCATTGATAAAACTTCGAGAGCAAAAAGCCAAGCTCTTGTTTTAAAAACTTCACTGCAGAGTTGATCGCTCATCGGGAATCCAAAAAGCTTACTTCAAGAGCGAGCGAGGCAAACTCCTCAAAAGTGGGCACAGAGACTAAGCTGGTAAGACTTTGTTGTCTGGTTCCTAAACAGAACATCTACATCAACCATTGCTTTGACTCCGATAACAGTATCTCCAAGTGAAAAATATTTTTAGGATCGTGATGGATTCTACATAACTCTCCCTCAAGTGATTTTAATTACCAAGGTGCCTGCATGTCCTGTGGTTTGAAAAGTCCTTAATTATGTTCACATATTAAAGTCCAAATCATTCCTTGCCACCATAAGGCAAACCCCACGCAAACTGAATACTACACAGTGAAAGGAGCGCTTATGTTGGACAAATAAGGAACACATGATGGGAAGCGTACTAAGAAAGCGTCACACTGAAGTAAGATATTTCTATAACATAATATGACCTTTTATTCCGTTAAGCAAACAATAGTTACAAAAGGCTGCGAAACTCCAACTGAGATCCATTATCCCTTCCATCCAAAACTATGACTAAACCGTTTGTGAAAACGAATGCAAGAAAGCAGGCTGAGGAGTTACGGACCTTCAGCGGGGTGTTTGGACTTAAAAAGGTTTTAAACTGACTCTCGTGATACAAAACGACAAACACGTGTGGCCTGTGTTTTTAAATTGCTCTTTGGATGCACAAAGTGGAAAGCAATAAACTGTTTCAACATTGTTAGGCGGAACAAAGAAGTCTCCAAATAATTGCGGCTCTTTTGATCGACTCCAATCCACTTAACAAGGAGACCCGAATCATGGCATTCAATTTAAAAATTACAACCGCTTAGAAAAAAGGGATAAATAATGTCAGTTCTGTAACCACAAAAATTAACGTCTAGATCAGAATTCATGGCGTTAAAATTGAGACGCCTCGTGAGCAGAAACAACCTACAACTGTGGAAAAATAAAAACACAGTTTTTCTTTCTAGGAATTAACACCGCAGGAATCGCTTAGAACATCAGTTAAGGGCTTCATGCAAAACTGCACGAGTTGGAAACCTCTGGCATGTAGTCCGAGTGCATTACAACTGTTATCTTGATAACTTTTGCCCAAGAGTAACTTGACTACATACACGAACAATCGCAACACTTGGGTTCGTCGCAATGATAACACACTTGACATCTTACAGCTGATGTCAAACCTGGCGCCTCATGTTCTTGTTTGTCATTTACCTACAATTAGGGTTATAAGGTTATTTCCTCCACCAAAATAGCCTTCAAGTCCAAGAACTGATACCAAGATGACGAGTGATCAGAAAACGAGGTCACAATTAAAAGAATTGATATGTTTTCTACACATGCGAGTCATAAAACTGCCAGAACGTGCGAAAACTTAAGTGTAGTTCCGGTTAGTTTAGTTCCAAGGCTTTTAACTCAACAAAAACACAAGCAAAATCATCAGGGGTTGATGGTACTTTGATACTGCGATTAAGTTAGTTATTTGCCACCCAAATGGTCTTCATGTTTAAAAGTTAGTGCCACGAGGCGCTGAAGCGTTGAATACCTTTCAAACAGAAAACAGAAAACACGGCCAGGAAATATGATAAAACTAGTTTTTACATGCATCGACTAGAATTGAAGAGAATACTGTCAATACTGCCGAGTAAATTACAAATCTTTCCACCTAAATAGAACAGTCTTTGATTCAGCTTGACAATTAAAATAAACTGTCAACGCCAAATGGCTTGTAACTCAGTAAAACATAAGAGTCGATTTAAAAATTACACCTATCGTTGGGACACTAGAGTAAACGTACATAAAACATTCGGTAACGTAAACGCGCACAGTCATGCGAATTGGGAGACTTGTAGACAAGATGTAAGAAAGTATTAACTTTAATTTTACCTCAGTAACAAAGGAAAACAAGAGATAGGTAAAGAGAATTACAGTGACGAATGTTCTTAGTTATGACAACTGAATGTTAACTTTTCACAGAAAGCGTCTTTGCAAATAAAATTATTCAATAATTAAGTTGGAAAAAAAAAATAAAACAAATACGGCTTGAATTCCTAAATAACCTGGATTACAGATTTTATAGTTGCATTTAAAAAGCCGGTACAAAGCAACGTTTTTCTAAAGCCAATCGGCGAAGGAAATATTTGGAATCAGGCTGATAAGGAGCCACTAGCAATTCCCATGAATATCACTCGTTTATTGCATTACGTCAAGTTGGAGTCCATTAGCTTGAGCTGCGCTGAGTCGAAGAGCTGAACTAATACTATTTAAAGGCGAATATTCTTAAATAAAATTGCCACACGTTTTCCTGTAAAACAGTGTTTCTAAGAGCATTTATAGTTGATTTCTTGTATATCGTGTCAAAAGTTGCGGGTAAATCACATATATCAACTGAAACAGTTTTTACTCAATAGAATACAGAAAAAGTCCAATCAAAAATGGTCAAGCCACATCGACCACGATCTTA